TCAGCCATCCATCATTACATGGTTTCTTGGCTTTTGTGCACATTTCCCCCCCCGTCTAAGATATTTCTTCATCATAGTTCCATTCCTAAAGTTTAATGACTGGCAGTAGGAGCTTCAAGAGAGCATTTGCAATGTGGTTTTTTTTTACTTTTTGGCCCTGCCCCTTTGCTTTTCACTGAAACGGTGCCCCTCAGAGCTTCCTGAAATGCAACCCGCCCTTGGTGGAAAATTTTTCTGCAGCCTGTTTTGTGCAGCAGGCACTTGGCCGTTGCTGCTGCTGCCGGCGGCTACTCCTGTGAGTGTGCGGGGAGGGGGAATTCCATTTTTTAGAACTGACTCAAGCCACACCATGCCTTTTCCTCTGCTTCCCTGCTCCCCTTTCAGAGAGTGCCCACTGCAGACTCTGCCCTCAGGACTGGTTCCTTCATGGGAATAAATGCTACTGGGTCTCAAAAGGAAAAGAAACCTGGCGTAAAAGTAAGGAAGACTGTGAAGGAAAGCTGTCTCAGATGCTAGTGATACAGAATCAGGAAGAAGTGGTACGTAACCTCTGCATCCCATGGAAACTGCTTGTGCAGGATTAGGTACAAGGGCGCCTTTTCAAGGCAAATAAGTAGAATCATAGAATAGAAGAGTTGGAAGGGGCCACAAAGGCCATCGAGTCCAACCCCCTGCTGTTGCAGGACACCAAGCTACACCATCCTACTCAGGTGGCTGTCCAGGTTCCTTTTGCATGTCTCCGGTGTGGGAGAGCCCCCCACCTCTCTAGGCAGTTGGTTCCACAGTTGTATTGCTCTGACCGTGAGGAAACTTTTCCTGATGTCCAGCCTGAATCTGGGTTGCTGCAACTTGAAATGATTATTCCATGTCCTACATTCTGGCATTAGTAAGAAGACTTTGTGACAGCCTTTGAGGTACTTATAGAGGCATATCTATAAGTAAATATATATTCCAATATTATGTATCTCTTACAATTGCATTATACCATATCCTTTATCTGTGGACTTGACTTTCATGATGGCTATTGATTTCAAGGGGATGCATGAAGCTTTCCCTCTCCTGGATGCTCTGGGCTCTTCCCATTGCTTCTCTCTGCCCACCGCAGTGCTGTTTAACACATCTGGGGGATTGTGCTGGTGTAGCAGTGGATAGTAGCTTTTCCTGGCATAGTAATGCCGAAGCAGACCGCCAGGCTGCCCCCACCTTGTGGTGGTTCTCCATGCCATTGTGAGAGCTGAAATGAACACTCACAAGCCCACACAAAAATGTCTATGCACTTTTTCAAGTAAACACATTCCGTATACAGGTTTTCCTCAAATGCCCATTTTGTATACCAATTTTCCTAATATATGCAGTTGTTGGAGCAATATATATATATAAATATATTGCAGTGTTTTCAAGATTATATGCATTTCTGTATTTCCCTAATATTTTTCACACTTATTTTTGTTTGGAGAACTAGATCACAGAATTCTGGAAGTGCAAATACTGAACGATAACTACATTCCAATTCATATATTGATTTGGAAAGTGCAGACTTGCTTAATTTCTATTGCATTTTTGTGAAATTGTTGTGAACCATCCAGAGAGCTTGGGCTATTGGGTGGTATAGAAATCAAATCAATACTGATAAAATTCTCACCTGTCCCTAGATTCAAAAAAAGTCTTCGTTCTTGCTGGATTTCATTTGCAGTATTTAGAATCGGGGAGGAAGAAATTGTACTAATAGGAATGATCAGGAACTGAATGAGTCAAATTCTATTGCCAACAAAGCGGGTCCTGTGCTTTACATGCCCTAACAGCTTTCTACAATTCAGCATTGTAGATCTGATGTGTTGCTTACAGACTTTCATTCAAAGCATTACTGAAGGGGCACAACTGCTGTGGATTGGATTAGAAGCCTCATTCCCTGCAAGAAGATGGACCTGGGTTGATGGTTCCCCCTTACAAGACCAGTTGTAAGTATCCTGCATTGTTTTCTTCTGTAGGTGACCCATGGTCTCAGCAGCTGGGCCTGCCAAATTTCTTTTTTGTGCCTACTGAAGTCTTTTTCTTAGCTTTCCATCATTGCTGCCTTCATCACATTCGCTACCTACCTATGATAGTTTATGGTGCCCTTGGTCCAGCCAGCAAATGTCATTATTGATAACTAATGTTTTTATACTTTTCTGAGAAAAGAAACATCCAGAAAGGCTAAAATGGCACTGAATCTAGGAGAAGGGAACCCAACAAGATCCAGGACTCCTTTTTTTAAGGAACATGTTTAGGGCACTCTCTGGTGTCCTTGCTTTGTTTTTAGGGGAAAGGGGTGGAGGGAGCTGAGGAGGAAAGAAGGAGGATGATCTTGGTGGCAAGATCACGAGGAGGGATTTTTGCAGCTCTTGCCAGCCAGCTCTGTAGCCATTCCTGACAACCCACAATGAAGCCACCACCCTAGATTTGGATGGCATGACAAGCCACCTTGGCTGGCAACAACCCTGAAACAAGCCATGAGTTGGGAAATAAGACACCTTCAGAAACCATGGTGCTTTCCAGTGATGATCCATCATGGTTGATCAACCACCGTGGTTTATCATGTCATGAAAACCAGATCATTGACTGGAACCCTGCCTTGCACAAAAGTTTAAGAGGGTCAGGAAACCTGGGAAGGCTGGATCTGGCCACCTCCCTTCCCCATTTTAGCAGGTTGAACATCTGCTTAGAGTTCTTGAAAAGAGGCATTGCGGGTAAGTGGGACATTCAACTTTACATGTACAATTGTATCTTGAGCACCCTTTACCCTCAGGTAGGCCCTGAATGTCTGCATCCATCTTCTACCATTATCTTAATTTACAGAGAGCATCTGAGGGGCCATTGGACATTTCAGATTCCCAGAGCCAAGGGCAACACAGCAACTCTGCCTCAGTGCTGCAAATCACAGCTCTGATCCACTTCCCTCTCCCCTTTGCAGCTGACCCTGGAAAGACCTGCACTAGCTGTTTTCAGAAATTAAGATGGGGAGTGGGGACATTTCAGGAGGTAGGGAGGGGCCAAAACTGGAGGAGCCAGGATATGAACTATCTCGATGCCTCTCTAGCCTCCTTTCTCCTCCCCCACCCCCGATGCTCCTGCTATACAGGCAAAAAAGCCAATCTAGCCAAAATGTGAGCAAGAGGACAAGGAGGTCAAGATTGCCACTCCTCCCACCCTGCACTGGATGACCATAAGCCTCCAAGTTTGCAGGCTTGTGGCATTGCCATTGCAGGCTTGTGGTCCTGAAACACCCTTACTTTAATATATTTACATAAGTGGATTCCATCTAGCAGGAACTCCCAAACATTGCGGTGCAGAAGATCCACTGGCAAGATCTGCTGTGTTTTGACAAGTGTCGTTGGTTTTCTCCTTCATTTTGCAGTCTTCAAGAACTAAGCTCAACTGGAACAAACTTCTGTGGGAGACTGAATGGGAATCAGATTATTGCTGAGGCCTGCAGCAGTGTAACCACGTGGATGTGTGAGACAGAAGCTTTCCTGATATGACCAGCATGACGACACCGCAAGCATTATCCAGCAGGGTGGGCTGATCCGTCTTTTGTGCAATTCAGCAGTGTTAGGATGCCACCATGTGCATCTTAGGCAGAAGGGAAGTCTGGGAATTGGCTGGATGGGCACGCTGGGCGTTGTAGCACTCTTTTCCTAAACACACACAGCATTGCACTGTTAGAAACTTTTGCCAGCCCTCATTCTTGTTGGCATCCTCATTCCTTTGATGTCAGCACCTGATCTGCATATTGAGCCTCCTTTCCCTGAAACTCCCACCCAGGTCACCTTCTCCCCAATAGAATCTAGACCAGCCACAGATCTGGAATCCCATGGGAAGTATTTCAGTGGGAAAATGGTGGAGGGAGGGAGAAGCATCCTGTTGCTTTGCCATTTCTTTGCTAAAGTAGCATTTCTTTTCATGGAAGTTTACCTGAAGGAAGCCACCAGAGGTGTGACTTATTATATCAGCTGACATCTAATGTTTCATTTGACTCTCGGCAGCTGTATGCCTGGGGCAGCCGCGAGGTCTTAGAATTGGAGCTCAAGCAGCTTTTATTAAATATTGTATCGCCAGCTGGCTGTGGACTCAGGTGTAGCATCTTGTTGATATGTCAGTAATGAGCTGTGGGGGAGGGTTTGGGGGGCAGGGTTGGGGGTTGTTTTGCTTTGTTTTTTGTTATTGAGGGATGTCACTGGCCCACTTAGCTGGTGCATGCAATAATATAATGGAAGCATTATGTTTTGACTGACAGAATTCACTGCACCAAAACAGGGATGATCAAGTATGTATAATCTGCAGCCTTCCTTGTCCAGAGGTCTTTTTTAGACATGCCACTGGTCCGGCGGCCTTCAGTGGGGAGAAACACCTTTGTGATAAGACGATACCAAAGAAGGAAGATGCTGATGCAGCTGGGGGTGTGGGCTGGCTTTCTTCCTGCAGTCTCAATGCTCCAAGTGTGGGACATTTCCCATACAATATAAAAGTAGTCATGTATCTGGGAGAGTATAAAGGTGTGTGTACATGGGGCAGAAGCAGGGGAGCTAAATCTGTCTATGGCAAGCCATTCTCTGAAATGAGAAACAGATTTTCTTCCTCTTCATTTGGCTCCACAGAACTGAATGGGATCCACTTAGCCTAGCTGTACTGCGCTGATTGTGCTGCTTGGTTAATTCATTATATGCACTATAAGTGTGTAGCCTAATATAGTGATACAAACCAGTACATAAATTACTAGTACTGGCTCTAGGCTGACTCATGGCTGGTTCTAGGTTTGAGGGGGCCCACAGGTAAAGTTCCCTGCCCAAAAACTCCAATATTCCTTTGAAATATGCAAATTCACCTTTTTGTAAATTGTCCCTCTAGGTATCCTCTGTGGAGGAGTCAGGTGGGACTTCTGGACTTTTTAAGCCTCCTCTTCCCATAAGGACACACACCTTTATCCCCATGAACACTGTATTTCCTTCAGTGTAGATACTCCGTACAATGCAAAACCCCAAATCTTTATTATTGTAATGAATTTTTATAAAACTTCTATTATTTTACCAACATATTCTTAAAGAAATTGCATCATGTTTATCAGGAATATTATTTTCAGCCAACAGAACTATTTTAGACACTCTAACAGATTGATCTCCTCTAGGAGAGACTAGTTTGATCGCTTTGCAGTCCAAGGGACTCACAGGAGACTTCTCCAGCAATCATTGGGTATATGAGAAAGCAACTGTTGGAAGGTATCCAGTATCGCAATCTGAACAAAATGTTGGCTCCATTCTGATCTGTAGCCTGAAAGATTACCAGCAGCCCAAAATATGTACTAACTTTTTAACTCTAACATGCAAAAACAAGCACAGAGTCTTGGTTGCCCTTGCAGTCCAGGACCTAGAATCACAGATCTTCTGGAAGGGGGCAGAAGGTCATTGGGTCCAACTCCCTGCTATTGCAGGACACCAAATTACACTACCCCATTCAAATGACTGTCCAGTGAGGGAAAGCCCACAACTTCCCGAGGTGATAGGTTTGATTGTTGCACTGTTCTGACTGCCAGGAAGTTCTTCTAGGTGTCTAGTCTAAATTTGGGTTCTTTTAACTTGATTCCATTATTCTGTGTCCTGCACTCTGGAATAACCTAGAAAAGATCCTGTCCTGCCTCTTAGTGACAGCCTTTCAGATACTTGAAGAATGCTATAATATCTCCCAACCTGAGGCCATCTATTCATGTATGTGCTTATCAATGGTTTCCATCTCCTCTAAACAAGGCATGTTCCTTCTATAAGCATTAAGGTGGCTGCAGATCCACTTCCTTGCTACATGGCAAGGTGAAGGTATGGCAAAGTTGGGAGGACTCAGGTATGCACAGTCTCCATTTTCTCCTCTCACCTTCAACCTGCAACAAAAGAGCCAAGTATCAACAGGTTAGGCTCAACATTCTCCCCGTTTCAAAGGAATGAAATCATATGCCAAAGCAGATTGCTCAGAACAAAAAGGTACTGCATTTTCACTCTTTGGGAAGCCAGAAAGCAGGGTGTCTGGTGCTCAAGTGGATTCATAAGAGAAAAGATGGACCTTAAGCTCTATTCTTGATCATATGACCCTGTTTGAACTTTAGGGTCACCATTTTTCCAGACATTTCACTGGCTAGTGCTAGGGACAGAGTCTTCTTAATGATGGCACCACAGTTAGGGAATTATCTCCCCAGGGGGATATGATAAGATTTCCCTCCTTGTATTTTACTGAAAGCTTTTAAGCACACTGGGGAAATCTCTGGGGGGTTTCCTCTCTTCTTTGTCTCTTAGCTACAGGGTCAATTTTGGTGAAAAATATGTCTATAGTCACTTGTTTTTTCCTGCACTGCATAACCCTCTAGAAATGAGAGACCACGTTATTATTCATCAGATTCAACACTCTGTTCGTTACATTTATGTTGGGGTGGTGCTTCTCAAAGAAATCCTGGCATGGGTACACTCCTGCAGGAAAGACAGGCACAATCTTGGCCATCTCCCCTGCCCCAACCAGCATGATCGCGGCCATCTCCCTCCCACCCCTGAGTGGGGAGATGGCCAGGATCGCAGTTGCGTTCGTGCAGGAAAGATGGGCGCAGCGCAGCACAGCCGTGATTACGCATGTGTTCCCTGCATGAACATGATTGTGATCATGGCCAACTCCCCATTCGGTGTGTGGGGGGGGGCTAGATGGCTGCGAACTTGGTCACCACCCAAAATGGAGTTTGTGACCCAATTCAAAATTTTCATGAAATTTTTGTTCATGACCCAAGGCGTTTGTGACCCACTGTATAATGGGTCCTGGGCAATTGTGGCTTTCCAACTGTTGGACTCCAGTTCCCATCAGACCCAACCAGCTTGGCCAATAGTAAGTTATGCCAGCAACAGTTCATCCACATCTGTAGGGCCGCAGGTGCCCCAGCCCTGACAAAGCAGCATGGACCCTCCTGTAAGATATTCCATATCCGAGACATTGGCATTTGCAGGAAAACGCCAAATCCATCTCTAAGGAATGGCTTACTTTGCTCTCTCCATTTCAGACTCTTGAGATGTAGAACAAGGACTCACGTGTTCTTGAATTCTGTCCCATCTACCCATTTCCAGGCTTGGCCAGAATCCTTGGCCAGACCAATCCAGTGACCGACAGTGCCCATATAACGCAGAACGAATGCCTGAGATGGACAGAAATGCAGGTTCAAAATGGTGTCTTTAAAGGAATGCCTTTCTCCTTTAAAGGAACTCTTCGTCCTTCTGTGTGCTATATTTTAAATGCCCATCTGCCTTTGAAATCTACATTACATGAGCCCGGAGGACAAGTACTATAAGAAAACCTGTTCAATGCATGGCAGTCAGAACACAAGTCCCCTCACAGACTAGAGACAAGAGAACTGGGAACATTCCCATTTCACCTGCCCCACATCCTTTCCCCAGAGGGAGAAGATGAGGGGCTGGTGAGGCTGGTTCCCAGCTGCCACATCAGGGGTGCTCCCAACGTGACTGCTTGCAACCAAATGCTGTTGGGACAAGCTCCTACCCCCTGGTGTCTTTTGGCCCATGGAGGGTCATCTGCTCCCACACATTATGTTTGCCTACCCCTTCCATAAGGGAAATGGAGGGTTAGTACAAATGACAGAATCCAGTAATATTGGACCAATTGGGCTCTTTTAAATGGACACTGAAATAATATTTTTAACACCCCTCTTTTTTGGGGAAACAGCCCCATGGTGGATTATTTCTTTTGATGAACCTGAAATGAATTTGATTCCAGGAGCTCTGGAACTCCTGTCTGAAATGTCCACACCAGGAGGGTTCTTTTAACCCCTGCAGCAGCATGTGAGCCAAGCACAGACTGCAGTATTTTCGGTATTTCCCTGTTCATTTCTATTGTATTAAAGTCAGGACAGGTGTTAGGCTGCCAGGGCTGGGGAAGGTTGTGGTCTTCTCCATGGCTCCAAACCTGTGCAGCCTTAATTTCCCAGAATTCTAGGGAAGGCGCCCGCATTTGGTCAACTCAATAGACAGAATCCCACAGCCCTCCTGGAATAATTCACTGCTCTGAACAATGTCCATCTTCCTCGTATAGATATAGACAGAGACAGATATGGCTGAGCTGTCTTTGAGCTTGCATTTGAACACACACAGAGAACTATAGGATTAAAAATAAAGTGTGGCAGAGGAAAGTGAGTGCAAAATGTACATATAATTAACATAATAATAGAAATGTTAGAAATGTAATAATAATAATAATAATAATAATAATAATAATAATAATAATAATAATAATAATAATAATAATGGCCATGTGTTATCAACAATGCTTTGAGAAGGGTCACTGTAAATATTATAATATTTAGCTTTAAGCCTTTAACTCATTTAAACTCCCCACTGCTTGGAATCCCCTCAACTTAGAGGCTTTTGAAACTCCTGCAGGCTAAACTCTGCAGAGCTGGAGCGGCAGAACTGATCTTTTCCTGCTTGTCCTCTGGTCTTTGCTGTTTCACTCGGTCTCTCCCTGGCACTTCAGGGAGGGAGTGGGGGAGGCTGGAGGAGGCTCTGGGTCAAGTATATCCTGGCCTCTCCCATCCCCTCCTCTGCCAGCCCCTCTTTCTGCATCTCCAAGAATGATTTTCTGACCTCAGAGTTGCAGCCAGGGTTGTTCTCGCCAGGCCAACTGTGATGGGGTGGGAGTTTCCACAATGCATGCCCGGGGTGATAGGGTTGCTCACCCCAATTTAATATAATTGTCATTGCCTGAAATGTGGCATTTCATTTCTCTCCAACTGCTCTGCTCAATTTTTTTTCTCCCCACCCATGTTTCTCTACACCTAAGGATAATAATTCATGGATTTGATGGGGCAGGCTTTCATTCATGAAAACTTATGCCAGAATTAGATGCATTAGACTTTAAGGTGCTACAAGGATTCTGCATTATTTTTCCCAGTTAAGTTGCAATATTACAATAACCAGCAGTGCTCACTTCATTAGCACACTGACTATGCTTACTGGTTAAGCATTTATACTCACAAATAGCAGTACATTTTAGCTAAATATGCCATCAGGACGTAACAGACATTTTGAACCAATAGAGGGCAGAGCAGGGCTGAGAAAGGATGTGTCCTGCACAGCTTCCTACCTTGCAGATTCCTCTGACATTGAATTTCTATGCATTTTTGGAGTACTTTTCCAATGGGAGGAAAATTCTTAATCTGTGAGTGGATGATGGAGCAGATTATGCTTGACAATCTGCAAAACACTGTCCACACAGCACCTGCCTTCCCCCAAATACACCCTATCTGGACTTTATATAGCAATTGTGTTACATTTATGGCTCTTCAGGATGTTGTGTACTCTTAAAGGTTGTGCAGAAAAGAGAATTTCTGCAAATGCACCATCTCATCCTTGCAGCTTTAACCCAACCAGTTGAATGGTGCTTTAGCAGCCACAATGGAGGATCTGTTAGTGTCATGTCATGGCAATGCAAGTTTTATCAACAGTTAATTTTCTGCTTATATCTGAAGACCTTCCATGGTGCTGCATGGAACCATTCTCTCTCGCATGTAAAATGTTCTCACATATATTTGCTCATCTCACCTTTTCTGGCTCAGTTTTTATCAGAGCTAAAGTGGCATCTTGAGAATCACAAAATTGTTGACTGTCAGACCAGTTCCTTTCTTCCTCTGAGAAAAAATAGCATTTTCCTAAATAGTAGATCCAGCCACTTGGACACGCATGATCAGGCAAATTAGAGATATCCACATTGGAGGAGGTTTCCTGAGGGTTAAGGCTTCCCCATACTGCAAATGTAGAAGGAAAAGTGTCTTTTGAACTGTGTTTCCCATGAGAATTTAAAGAGATATACTCACCACCCCTGTACCTCAGGCACTCCCCAGTAAACACCTGCCAGATCTTTTCTTGAAAATCTTCAAGGATGGGGTCCCATCTCTTCACCCAGGAATCCCTCTCCAAGAAATCCCATTTTACAAATGGGATTTTGCATCCTCACCTCTGTGAGGTAGGACAAACAGCTAGATATACTTTGTCTATATTCTAGCACCATTCCCATTAAAAAAAAGCTTACATGCTGGGCACACAACAATTTAGGCTTTTACACTCATAGAAAAGGACAGACTGCTTTCCTGGGACTTCTTTTTGACTCTTTGAGAAAAAGAAAAGTCAGGTCAGCCTGTTTGCCAAGCTGTCCACTTAAATAAGACCACCTTTAGGCTAGACAAAAAGGACAAGATCAGCTTTATTTTCCAACTGAGTATATTTACTAAAGAACCAAGCAGATAAAAGTTTAGAAGTAGTCAGTTGTTTGGAAGATTAAATGGAACAGAATTATCTAATTGAAGCTTACCTGGGACCTAATTCCCCAAAACAGCTTGTGTGCTGCTGGGTGAGACACCAGAGAATCTGCAGCATGACCTAATCCTGACTTGACTCTTTGCCAGCCACTCAAAGACAAAGGAAGATTTTCTAAACAAAGGTATATCTTATGGGGCCTGAGCTACTTCCAGAAAGGTAAATTCAAAGTGCCCCATCAGTTTTCTGGAACGACCTCACCATGTACGCTCCAGATGATTACTGCATCTACCTATAAGGCTGGGCAGGTTTGCACATCACAACAAGCCACACTGTATAGAAAGCCACGCAGGGTGGCTTGTTTGCTCTGGGGTCTACCATGTTCCTGTCAGATGGTTGGGCACAGCTGGGGTCCTTGCCCCTCTTTCCCTACAGGCACACACAGGGCTGTGACTTGAAAGACACAGGGGTAACACCTCAGGGGATGCACTAATTTGCATGTGGTGTGAGCTGAGTGGCGGGGGGGGGGATGATGTGGGAGGGATACACAAATGGGAAACACCAACATTTAGATTCCTTGTAAAATTCGGTGACTTGCCTTTTCATTCCATTCACTCACTCTGGCCCAGACCACTTAGCCGTTTGGTGGAATCATGAGAGATGCTTCTCCTGGGCTATTTTCATGTTGCTTTTGGCAATCCTAGGATGTGGATCCAAAGCTTATGTGAGCAGGGCCAGTCTTGTTGTTGCATCTCATCCAGTCATTGGGTAAGAGGCAAGGCAAGGACTGGGTGGGAAGGAGCCCCTCATCCTGACTCAGATGCTTCCCAGTAAGGAGGAGCCAGAAGGCACAGCTGTGGCTCCATGTGGATGGGGCCGCAGAAGCCAACTGCTGGAGTCAGAGAGAGGGATGCCACAGGAGGACTGCTGAGATACATCCCAAAGCAAACAGCGATGATAACAAGGAAGCTCACCTATCCACACTATAAGTATGATGATCGGAAAACTTATCAAAAGCCAGATAAGAAATCTCCCTGAAAAACAACAAGACACAAAGATTATGCTGATGTCACTGCTGAGAGCGGGGCAAGGAAAATCTAAACTGATATCAACTGGAGCAAGCATTTTGCGGCTCTAGTGGAATAAGCAAGTTAGGAAAGGCAGTACAAATGCAGGAAAGCGATGGAAGGAATCTCCAGGTTGCCCCCAGCATAGTTCAATCTTTCTTTTTTCCTTCAAGACTGTGTACAATATAAATAACTATAACATCATAAATTGATCTAAATTGTTGTGATAAGACATGACTACAAAGTTCAAGGACATCACTTTCAGAATTGTTCTCAGTAAAGCAAACTATGTTGCCAAATATAAGCTTACAAAGCATTTAAATAAAAAAGCAGAAGAGTGACACTTGCATAAATAACAATGGGATGAACTACAAAGGGGAGCAACCCAACAATCCTCACAAGAGGAAGGGAGGGGGGGAGAAAGAAGAGGAAGAAGAAAAAAAAGCAGCAGCAGCAGCTTAACAGATCAAAGAGGGAAATAAGTGTAAAAGTAAACGATGGGACTATAAGGACTAAGATGGGACTCACTAAGAATCCACTTCATAAAAACAGCTGGTGACATGGAACACCCTCAAGGGATTCAGCAGCTTCTGACTGCCAAGCAGCCATGCCTACAAATGCTTACATGTGTGAATTAGACCTGCAATTCCACAGACTTTGTAAAGATCTTCTGTGAAATTGTGACTACATGCAAGGCACCACAATAACCCAAACTCAAGGGTGCCATTTCCCATTGAACCATGGGTTGCTGATGAAACATGGGTTATCCTGTTGTCTGAACCCATTTGAAATAACAAGCCATAGTGAACAACCCACAGCTTACAACCCACCATGTAATTTACAAGCTTTGGCTTATTAGCACAGCTGAGTTCAGACAATGCAATAACCACACTTCAACAAGGATCCACACTCAACCCACAACCCATTGTTCCAAATTAGGGCTGTGTGTCTGATGCCATGTTTGGGTTCATGTGCCCACATAACACCTATTCTGTATAAATTACACAAATTGGCATTTGAAGTCTGGGCCCAATTTAAAGTGCTTGTTTTGATGTACAAAGCCCTAAATGGCTTGGGACCTGGTTATTTGAAGGAGTATCTTTTCCCATATACTCTTACCCAACCATTGAACTCTGGGAATGAGTCCTTCTGGAACAGCCATTCCTAAAAGAAGTAAAAGGGATGGCAATTAAAAGAAGGGCCTTCTCAGTGGCTGCCCCCCACCTTTGGAATGGGCTCCCCACCTTTGGAGTGGGTCTACCTGGTGCCATCACTACTTCCATTTCTGCACCTGGCAAAACCTGCCCTCTTTCAAAAGTATTTCAAAACCTGATTTTAATACCTGATTGTAAGAGTTTGCTTTGCTTCCAACAGGTTTTTCCCCCCTCCTCCCCCTTCTACTTATAATTGTACTGTTGGCCTGTTTTTAATACTGTTAGCTACTTAGACAGCCCTTACAGGGCTTTTCAGCAGCCTATAAATTTGAAAATACGAGGGGTCTTCAAACAGTTTCTGCATTTTTATATTTTATATTTTATAAATATATTTTATTTATTTTTTGCTGATGGCATTAAAAAGTCAAATGCATCACAAACAAAGGTGGCTATGAAGGAAAATGATGTAATTTGTTTTTGAAATTCTTAATAAATCGAGTTTTTTAAAGTGTGGAAACTTTTTGAAGAACCCTCGAAAATAAGTAAATGAATAAACCCCACACTCTTAGGACTTAGTAACCAGCCCAACAATAGGCTGGACAAAAATTGAGTTGCCTTTTGGATTAGATTTTGTAGCCAAAGCATGCTCCTTCTGACTTGCCTTGCCTTTCTTGGAGTCTTGCTGCTCTGGGTAAGGCACCAGGGACACCTTGTCTATTTCAACAGAGAGAAGCACACTCAATCAGATCAAGGACCTGACTAATCCAATTCCACCGCCACCGCCATGCTTTCCCTGCTTTGCTGCCTAGCAATCCACCCAAGTTGCCATGTCCACCTCACCCCAAGATCATCTGGAATGCATCAATTGGTCCTACAAGTCCATTTCTTGTATTCAGCGACTGACTGGATCTCAGGCAGCAGATACTGGAAGAGGACAGCAAGGAGAGAGGTGGGTCCCACCCTGTCTGCCCTAACCTTGAACTTTCAACGGAAGAACTATCTTGCCTGTCCTGCACTTTGATCCAGAAGGATCCCTAAGCAGGTGGCTTATGCAAAATCATACACAATTGTTAGTCTGAGGTGGTTTTTACCTGTTCTGACGAATCACATTGCCCCGGGGTTGCATATCATCTCTTTCCACAGGACTACAGATATCTCCACTGTCCAAGGGCAGAGAAGGAAGAGTCGGATGCAGTCACAACTAGGCCTTAAGAGCTGTTGAACAACCGTTGTTGGCTCTTCTATGGTCCAGGTGGTGGTTTGGTTGCCTATTTGGCTGTCTTTTACACTTCCTCTTTCAAACTTTAGATTTTAGAAAAAAATGGTGCAGGCATGAGCATCTTGCCTGGCACTTTCTGATGCCTTGAACATTCTTGGCTCCATGTCCTCTCCCACTGAGCAACCCCAGCCCACCAAGTCCCCCTTTTCCCATTTCCCCTTTTCCTCCCTTCCACGCTGTATGTCCTTGCCCTGCAAAGAATAATTATTCCTCATACTCATCCTTTCCATTGTTACCTGTATCCATCTTGTCTCAGCTCCCTCACCCCATTCCAGCCCTGATCTTACAAAGTCATGAACAGGGAAGCCACCCAAGTTTGCTGCATGTAACTGATCTATAGCCCCAAGAGTTTCGTGTTGCACTGAAGGCAGATTGGTATGTAAATGAGCTGGGCATGGCAATACTTGGCTTTGAAGGTCAAGCGAAGAAGTTTGCAAGAGCTGAGCAAAAGCAGGCATGCAGGGAGAGCTTACAGACCAAGAAGGGTGGACCCTGTTCTAGTTTGTGGCTTGTGCCTTCATCCAGTAACTTCTGTTTTAATTGGACTATTGTGTAAGAAATGCTCAGGGGCAAGGCTGGCGATACAGCCTTCCTAGATGCTATAGAGGGAGAGTTTTTCACGAAGAGGGTCTGGAAGGTGACAAGGGGGAGAAAGAACCTTGACTTGGTTTTGACCAACAGGGAGAAGCTAATAGATGGGGTGCAGATTGTGGGAGCTCTGGATGTGAGTGATCACTCCATCCTTTGCTTTGAGATGAGGGGACTGGGGATGTGCAGCATGTTGAGTACTAGAAGCTGGGACTTCACGAGGGCCAACTTTGGCCAATTGAAGGCCAGACTGGGGAGAGTCTCCTGGGAAAGGGTACTGGAAGGCAAGGGAGCTTAGGAGGGGTGGATGGCACACAAAAGGGAAGTTTTGGAGGTGCAAGCCTTGGCAGTACCTCTAGTTAGTAACTGGGGATGCAAAGGAGAGGGCTGCCATGGATGCAAACAGAAGTGTTAAGAGGGATTAGATGCAAGAGGAACCTCCGTAGGAAATGGGCACTGGGGCAAATAGACAAAGGGGTATATCAGGAGGAGGAAGCCCATTGCAGAAGGATTCTTCGCAAGGCCAAGGCTGATTACGAACTGAGATTTGCAAAGAATATCAGGAGCAACAAAAAGGGTTTATTTCAGCATGTAAATAGCAAGAGGAAGGGGAGACAGGTGGTAGGACCGCTTAACAAGGAGGAAGGGAATTGGGTGACTGATGTGAAGGAACGGACACAGATGCTAAATTTACTAGAAATCCTAATGTCATTTAGCTTCGGTTATATTAGCATAAGTATTGATTTTAGTATTAACATGAGTTTTATTATTTCTACGTGAAAACTCTGGATGATTCACAATAATAGGGCAAAACCACAGAATGTTTTTATGAAGTCCTTGGAAGAAGGCCTCACTTAATCAGGGGTGACTTGACCAATGTCAGGTGTTGGTCTAAAATCTTGACCAAATTAGCCTTCCCAGAGAGCACCTGCTTGCCTCTGTTTGAACTTGCTCATGATGCAGGTTGTGCTCTGGGGCATTTTGATAAGCTTTCCCCCCCATCCTCTGGCAGAGCAGAGCTCAGAGCCTAGTGGTGGAGAATGTTGCATCTGCAGGCCAAATCCTTCTCTCCAGGTTTGCAAAGACGGATACACACGTGGCCTGACCATTCATCATTTAGTCTCCTTCCAGCTTCGGCATATTTCCCCTCCCATCTGAAATGGTGAAAATGCCCCTGCTGAAGCCAGAATTGTGGCTTCTAGAGTGAGAAGGTATTACTACCACTCTATACGACTCTTACAGCCAGAAACTGTGACAGCCAGATCATTTCTTTTTATCCTGCCACCCTGACTTTCAAGAAGCTCAGTGTAATATACAGGGTACCCCGCTGCCCTTTTATCCTCACAAAACCCCTCTGATGTGGGCCGGACTGTGAGAGAGTGACAAATCCAAAGTTGCCTGGTGAACTTTGCAGCATGAGATATGAACTTGGTTCTCCATCCAACACTGTAACCACTGCCCTGTCTGAGTTCTCACAAAATCACTGCTTTAAATAAACAGCTGGACCATAAGGAAGGTTGAGCACCGAAGAATGGAGGCCTTTGAATTGTGGTGCTGGAGAAGACTCCTGCGAGTCCCTTGGACTGCAAGGAGATCAAACCAGTCAGTCCTAAGGAGATCAACCCTGCTTGCTCTTGAGAAGGCCAGATACTGAAGATGAAACTCAGATACTTTGTCCACCTAATGAGAAGGAAGGACTCCCTGGAGAAGAGCCTAATGCTGGGAACAATTGATGGCAAAAGTAGAAGGGGAGCAGAGAATGAGGCAGCTAGGTAGAGTCACTGAAGCAGTAGGCGTGAGCTTAGGTGGACTGGGGGGGAGATGGTGGAGGACAGGAAGGCCTGGAGGAATGTTGTCTGTGGGGTCGTGATGGGTCGGACAAAACTTCGCAACTAACTACAACAACTACAACAATCAGAGCATTCACTTTGAAGTATCAGAATTTACAAATCTCCACACCTCCTCTGACACTTTAGCCACAAGGCAGGTTTCATACGTACAGTGAGTCATTGAACCCCAAAAAAACTCCTTTGCTATCTTTCACATCACACCTTTGTCTAGCCAGCTGGAGAGCTTTGGCTCTTGGGTGGTACAGAAAGGAAGACATCATCATCATGGGTGCATTTAGTATATATACTGCCCAATAGCCAAAACCAATCTTCATTATCCCTGGTCACCCTCTCCTTCCAGGGAACCCTGCCTCAAGTTTCTGCTAGCTTAATACTACTTACCCCACAGATAAAGCCTGGACAAGCAGGGAATCCTCACATACGAATGGGGCGGCATAAAAATGTTTTAATAAATAAATAAATAAATAAAAATACCTCACTTGTTTGTGTGCGGACCTTTAGTTGAGGGCTGCCTTATATAACATCTTCCTGCAGCAGCATTTCACAATAAAATCAAGGGAAGTGTTTCATCATGGTAATTTCAAAGAGTTGTAGACATCAGCTGTTTTTCCCAAGGCAAAATCATCATGTAGCCTCTGTAGCAGATCACAGGATCCCACCTTTCCTCTGATTTTCCTTTGGTTTAAAATTTAAAAGCCATTCCGCTATGAATCAGAGGAGTACTTATGCAAAGCTGACGGTGTTGGTTGTTTTTCTGTCTTGAGCCAGAGCGGCAGAAAATTCTCTCAGCTGGTTGCTAGACAAAAAGGAGGAAGGAGAGCAGTATTTGCTCTTCAAGGGGTGTTGCAGGGCGTCGCTAAGCAGGCACGTATGATTCTTGCTGCTTTGTCATGCTGGACCTACTTGCCCTAATGTAAGGGTCACATTCCAAGGGTCATTTTGCCACTGGATGGCACAAAGTCCAAGAGTTCGCCGGCATGGTTAAGGAACATTTCAAGGAAGCAAATAGCGAGAAGTTAGCCGTCCATACCTCCTGATTAGATTTAATCCACACTGTAAGAAAGGCACGCAAACAAAGGAAAGGGTAAAATGCTAGAGGGCTTCTGTTCATGGAAGTTTGTGGCGCTTTTTCACGTTGTCGAATGGTTGCACCGCCCCTCCCCCGCTTTTAGCTGCTTCTCCTGCTCCCCGCCCCCCGCCCCCATGGGAAGAAGTAGCTTTAAAAAAAAAAAAAATTCTCGCTTGTTTCTACAGCGGGATGTTCCACTGTGCCTTGGGTGGGGGGGCTGTTGCGGTGTTGGTGGGACGAGGCAGCGGCAGCGCGCCTGGGGGGCGCCCAGCTTTTCCGAGCGCTCGCAGCAGGCTGCCGCGGCCGTTTCCTTTCCTGCTCCTTGGCTGATTCCGCGGCAGTGCTCAGACGGGTGGCGTTGGGGGGCGGCGGCGGAGGCTGTCTTGGCAGCAACAGGAGAGCCTCGATCTACTGGACACTTGGTGCAAAAGATTCGGGGAATGAATCGGAAGGAAGGAAGGAGGCAGGGGCATTCGTGAGGCTTGCGCAACTCTGAGGCTCTTCAGTTGCCTCCCCGCCCCGCTCGCTTTTCTCTCTGAGTTGCACATTCTCGCTTCTCTCCCCTCCCGCTATGAGGGAAAAAACAAAAACTTTGTACTGTCCTTTCAAGCCTTCCTGTTTTCTCTTGCTGGAGAAACAATGAGCTGGCCTGCACATCTGCTCAAGTCTTATCTGTCACACCGATCCGCAATATAGGCTCGGAATCAGTTTCTTGTCAGGGCAAACAGGTTTATTTACAATTGAATGCATGGATCCATGGGTGGCCAAAATAGGGACACCCCATGATATTTTCCTTAGGGTTATATAGAATACACAAAAGGGGAGTGAATACAATACACAGGAAGGTGATTGGATGCTTTGACATGGATGGGAAAGTGATTGGATACACGTCACAACACCATAAAGAAAAGTTACATTTCACTCTAAGTAGATGCCTTTGACAGGCCTTCTAAACTAAAGTTACCTTGAACAGGCTGGCCAAGTTAAGTAAACGAAAAGGTTACATGCGTGAACTTACAGGGTTAGGGAGGCACACTGACAAACCCGTAAAATACAAAGATAGCAATTGACAGTTACCCACTAATGGAGTGGGGTCATTTGGTCTTCACCACCAGACACTGAGGCACCCTTTGCGATCTGTTTATGGCAAGGCAGTGAGGCGGGATTATATATCTTGTTTTTCTGTGTACATATCAGATCATCTTTCATGGCCTTACTCACAAGTAAACTACATTGGTGTCGGTGGGGTGGGGAACAGACCACGCGGAGATGGTTATCCTTGCTTGCCTTTGGGAGGAAGGAATGTTAGCTGTAGCAAATGACATAATCCAGATTCTGCGCCCCTCCCCCAAAAAGGTTTAATTAATATTGAAATACTGCCATAAAGATCTTATCTAACAGCTCCACCTTCTCTCTCTCTCTCTCTCAGAAGAAATAACAGGAAGCTCACTTGCTCTTTCTCAAGAAATAATAGAGGAAGTAATGAGGGAAACTGCTACACTTTTCCAGGATGCCTTCCAACCAGCTTCCCTTGCATAAAACAATGAGACGAAACTACAGGACCGCTTGTATAACGTTTGGCTCTCCCTCCCTGCATCCCACCCTGAGAGCCAAAGTGGAGTAGCGGTTCAGAGCACAGGACTGAGGCTCAGGCGATCCAGTTTTTAGACCCCACTCAGCCACAGAACTCAATGGGCGAGTTTGGGCCAGTCACAGACTACCTCACAGTGTTGTTGTTGTGAGGATAAATTGGAAAGGAGAATTATGTAAGCTGCCTTAAGTCCCTTAGAAGGGAAAAGAGGCAGGATATAACAGCAGCAGCAATAACATGGATACACAGTGGAATACCGCAGTGCCTGGCTGTGCTTCCAATGTCACACTGTGCACAACACAAGCATCCATAGCTCAGCCATGGCAGCTGGGTTCTTGGGAGGGGAGGCAGCAAGGTGTGGTGGCAGCACAACCCCCAAACTGTGACTTCCCTGCCAGTGAAAGGTTATGTTGTGCTCCCAAGGTGAAGCATTTTGGAAGCACCTCCATATATGAAAGGGTTCAAAGCATGTAGTCCCAAGTTGCTTCACTCTGGGTGTTTCATCCTCTGTCCTTATCAGGAATCCCAGTTCGTCTCCTGCACTACCTTCCCTTGGTCTGGCCCAGTGGTTCTTCCCTGAGACCAAATATCCAGGGAAAGTTGGTGAGGCTCCCATCCATTGCTGCTTTTCTTTTGAACCTCATTCAAGCTGCCCAAGGACACTGAACGTCATCCCCGAACTAGCATCACCACCATGAAATATTGCTATTCCACATCTACAATTCCCATCATCCTGCTGGTGGGGAATGAAGAAAGCTGTAGTCCAACATGTATGGAGGACACCAGGTTGGGGAAGTCTGGTCTAGTGCATGAAGTGGTTGATCAAATTGTCATTCAGTTTGGAGCAGTGGGTGGACAGGAGAGGTTTCTGGATCTAGGAGGATGAATTCAAGCTGCTGAACTGGCAGGACATGGAAAGGGCTCAAGGATGGAGAAGCTGGCAGGGCACATCCTTCTTCCCCACCTCAGTTTGCAGGGAGGGGATGAGCCAGGTGTGTGAAAGCAGACAACCTGAGCATCAGAGAGAGCAAAGGTGAGGGTGCAGACAGCTCCTCTCTCATTCTGGAAACGCCAGGCAGTTCTCGGGTTTCTGGTGGAAGGCTGGATTTGCTTTCTGTCGGACTGCTCACCTAGGTCCCCTTTGCATCATTTACAGAAATGCCTGACGTCTCAGCTCATGTTTTCCTCCAAAAGAGGCCAAACCCAAGTAAGCACTGTGTCCCAGAATGCCTCACTGCTTGAGGAAGTGGGGTCCACGCAAAGCACGGGGGGGGGGGGATACTTCTTGGGAGGTGGAGCTTGTGCAGATGGGGGCTCCAGCTCAGTCCCGGCTTGAATTCAGCTGCTCTGCTCTGTGACTTTTTCCTTTTCTAGCCGGTCAATCCCCACCACCCCCCTTGTGCAAGCCTGAGGGAAGTCCTTCATGGCTGAGTGGGAGGGGAGAGCATCAGCTGGGCAGCAGCACCCGGCTGAGAACTGCACATTCCCCTGCCAACACCCCTTGGCACCCAGCCTTGCCAGAGAAGCGTGCACGAAGTTCTCTCTGTAAGGCTGGAGCAGGAATGCAGTCACATGCCACCAGCTCCTCATTGCTGCAGCTGGCCAGAAAGGTGCTTGAATGGGCAACAGGGTGGGGACACAGACATCACCTCTCTCAGTCTTTCATGCACATACACACCTTTTCCATACCTATGCATGCACAGGTCCTGCACTGGCAAGAAGCTTCTGCACATGCCCACAAGCATACTCCTCAGCTGTTCTCAGCACCAGGCATCTGGGTCAAGGGGATAGGCAGGCTATTTATCCAGAATGTGCCTTCATGTGCATTGCCTTCCATACGTAAATGTAAATCACTGCTCTTGCAGTTTCATTTTGTGAAGGTGTGGACACCAAAGAGGTGTGGTCAAGTGCTGTTTCAGCAAATTGTGCTTTATTGATGCTGGAAAGATGCCCAGAAAACCTTGCATATGTTTGTTTATTGATTTCAGGTATGTCTTTTTTTCCCCAAGGCAATTCAAGATAAAGCAAGAAGAGAAGGTAAGAGGCAGACCTCTCAAGGTAGGGCAGAGAGAAAAGCAACAGATAAAAAGCAGATTACCCAGAGGCTTAAACAGTCTTCATGTGGAACCCCCAAAATAGCACAATTGGTATGAGGAAAACCTCTCTGTGGAAGCCACAGCCTTGAATTTACAAGTGCTGAGCTGGACTGTTATGGACAGGGCATTATGGAGAGGACAATGTGAGGTTACATTCATAGGGTCATCATAAATCAGAGATGACTTGACATCAGGTGCCAACAAACTAGGCTAGAGAAAGGTGCATGGATGTACGAGGAGGACAGGGGCTTCTTACTCTTCTGTGCTCAAAAGCCACAAAAATCCAGCTGCACCTTAAGGATTCACAAATTTACTAAAAGTGCTTTGGAAAGGTGCCATTTTTCATGGAGCAGGAGCAAAATAGCGCTTGCTGAACTAAAGGTACCAGAGACCTGGTGATTGCTGTTGCATCTGAAGCCCCTGAATTAGCTGGCTTTTTGCCAATACACATGTCCCCTTCTGCTGCCTCTCTTGAAGTTTTCTGTCCAAGATTTTTTTTTCTGAAATCAAATGCTCTCCTCTGCCCTGTCCATACGTGCCCTTTTACAAAGAGCTGTTTCTCTAACTGACAGGATCCTTTAAAGATGCTCACATTTGAGAAGTAGAAGAAATCTGACTGGGGCATTGGAAATCCATCAGATTTTCTCAATCCAGCCCTGTGGATTTTATCCTGTCAAACCACTTTTACTGCTGAGTCAGACAGATACAAATTAACCCAGTACAAAGATTTCAGCCTTTAAAATAGGCTGCAGTTTGCACAATTAAAAAAGATGTCTGGAAAATTTACACAAAGTCTGGGTCTTCAGTTAGATTTTCTGGATGAAGGACCCCAAGAACTCTAAAACATGTTCTAGAATATGAGCAACGACCAGAAAAAAGCCTTATGAAACAATAGGGGGAAAGAAATGGAGGGTGGGGGGGGGGGGAGAGAACACCTTACAGTTGCTTGGAGGATGTGTGGGTTTGTAGAAGGGAGCAAAAAGAAACAAGCAGCCCAAAGAGGACTGTGAATGTACAGAAAGCAGAGAATTATGCCATGCAGAGTAACCAGGTTTGTCTGTTTCAGCAACATTGAAGCGTCTTATAGAAGCTCAAAGATTTACAGATTGATTATGGCATAAGTTTTTGTGTACTGGAGTCCATTTCATCAACTTTGAGAGATGAGGTGTCAAGCAAATGTTGAGAGTATTCTTGGGAAATAAATATGCCATATTTGAGGAAGAAGTAATAGAACAGCCTGCAGCAAAATCCCATGGCTGGCTGGGAAAAGCTACGAGTTATTAAGATTTGTTCTGTCTAACCTTGCATGAGTTTGCACCAAAGGAGAAGTAAGGACCAGAGTTCCTCTAAGTGCATCCTCTGCTCACAGTCTGTACATCCTACCAGAGTGGTGCTCACAAGCCCTTTCACACACAGAGAACCAATCCTTCTTTCCCCCCACATATTCTTTTTCTGCAATCTAATGGGGAAAGTGCAAGGTGAGGTGTAGTTATGGCTACTCTCAGGCAAGCACTTTAAGGTTCTATAAAATCAGGCACTTAGCTGATCTATTGCAAATCTCCCAGTGATGGACCATCCATCGTAAACATTAAGACAAAGGAGATGCTTGTAGGAAGGCAGGGCCAACTGGTACGCTCCTGGTCATGGTGGAGCTCGGATGCCTCTCTCACCCTTCTGTGTTCCTAGAGAAGAGGCTGGACTTTCAGAACTTTCAAAAGGGTCCTTCCAGTCCAGCGTTCTGTTCACACAGTGGCCAAACAGCTCCAATGAGTATATGACCATCCATTTTTTTCACCAATCTCCTGCATGCATGACCTCTATTGTTCCTAATTCACTGCTGGTGCTGGACAGTAAGGGCACAGAGCTTGTACCTTGCCAAAATCCCCTTAAGTCAAAGAGTGACCAGCCAAAGTCCGGTGTGCCACCGTGTACTATTGAGTGGCATACAAGTTTGCACACTCTGCCTGCATTTACTGGCTTAAATAAATCTTCTGTGTGCAACTTTGGTCCCTATCCCTCTTTCACAATCTTTATATAGGCTTAGTTCCTGCTTCTTCCATGAGTACAATCAAAATTTCAGCTTCCACAAGACTTCAGGCAGCATAGTCTACAGCAACAGAGACAAGGTTGCTTCTTTTCTTATCTTTCAGCATAAGAGAGTGATGTGAGAAATAGTAAACAGGAGACCTCCCTCTGCATATTCACAGACCCAGAAAAATGCATATCACAAGGAAAGGGTGAAGTGGAGGGAGAGACAGAGAAAGAAGAAATAATAAACCTATTTCTTTGAAGCAACAATATCCGTGCTGCCTCTCAGTATCAGGGGAAGCCTATGCCTCACTCTTCTTCATGTTTGTAATTTCAAAAAAGACCAGCTTTGATGCAGATCCACTGGTGTTCAATGCTGCATCGTGCAGAGCTCGCTTTGGCTTCATCATTTAAATACGCACAATCTCCTCCCTTTCCAAGGACCTCCAACCTGAAATACAAGCTGGAGTCAAGCAAGTCCGCAATGGCAAAATGTAGGCATCTTGGCATCTTGGAAAGCGTTAGTTATTCAGCAAATGGAAACACCATGTGTATAGTAAAATCCCATCTATGTGTCTTACAGGAATGGGATTTTAACTCTTGTGCTGAATCCTATTTTCCCACCATGTTCTGTTCACTGTTCTATCCTATAAATGTTTAAGAGAAGAGTTAAGCCTCATTTCTATCAATTAGAAGAGGATCTTTAAAACATCTTGACTTCTGAAATACCTTTTCACCAAAGTGAAGGAACAGAATGCCTGCCCTTCTTGTAAAAGGTCCTGAATGTTCGTTCTCCTTGGCACCTCTACTTAAAATGAACATGTAGCAAGTGAAGTGAAAGGGTTCTATGTGAAGCTTTGGTGAGACCAAACAATTTTAGGAAAAAAAGAAAAGCAGGTCCTCTACTTTTTCTAACAGGGTTATTGCCTTCTCCTTCTCTTGTGTTTTTAAGGGGCATTAATTTACAGGCAGGGACTGCAGGTGGCACAGTGGTTTAAACTGCTGTGCTGCTGGGCTGGTTGATCGAAAGGTCGGTTTGAATCTGCACAACAGAAGCATGACTGGATGTAACATCAAGGGGAAACCTTTACCTTTTTAATTTACAGGTCACAAGACAATGCCCTGTATTTCAACTGGCAAAAAGGAGACTCTACAACATACTTCCATTTTTTACATTATTAAAAGTATCCAAAGAGAAATGTAAGTGTGTGTATGTGTGTCTGAATGCAGAATTCAATGCAGTTTTAAAGAACAATCTAACAACCATTCTTAATCAGATTTCTTTGAAATCTGGCCAGATTTTAAACCCACCTCTCAGAAGGCTCCATGTGCAATCTGATAAGGGCAGAACTAAGTGGGTTGATCTGATAAGGAATAGACTTTTCAGTTTTTATAACAGTAGGATGCTAAAAAATAAAACAACAAAACCAATAGCACAAACCTGCTCAGTACAGTGACATTAACTTTCTAGCATGCATGCATAGAACTGTATAGAAATAATGAGTGCATTCAAACAGATCTCCTAGTACTAACTAACAAAATGCATTGTGCAGTGATTGCATCTTGTCTGTCTTAAGAGATTTGTTTCTGATGGGACCAAACCTGGAAGAAGTAGTGTGAAAACATGGAAGGTCTATCAATGGAAGGCCATCTGTTCGGCATCAGGTTAAGACTTGCCTCTACTCCCAAATACTTAATGCATAGGATGGGCAATTTATCTCAGCTGTCTTTAATGGGTCCAATATTTTAGTGAAACTGGTTAGCTGTTTAAATTGCTGTACTATCCTGTATCTGTGGCTTGTGCCTTTGTGAGTTGTTGTGAAGCACCAAGAGAGCCACAGTTATTGGACAGTGCAGCATATAAATGAAAGCAGCATTCCAGTCCCCAGTAAATTTCTCCGCATAAGGCAGGGAGATAGCATATTAAAATCAGGTCTATATCAAACTTCATTCCTGTCCATACCAAATATCTTTCTATGTGGTGCCTGAGGTTTTTTTCTTTAAAAAAATATTCTGATGCTACGATGATCTTCGAATGCTCTCAGATACCTCATTCATTTTCATGTTCACGGCCTTCCTTGACCGAGACCAAGCCATGTGTTTTTCCCAGGTATTTTTTAAGGTTTGATACTGGTAAGTACAACTGAATAGTCTTAAGTTGGCCAGGATAGTAAGTGAAGGACTTACGTTGCATTTTCACCATTTGGCCCCTTCCATTGCTCACTAGGATCTCTCCGGAGACCAATCCAAAAGATGTCTTTGCCTTTGAGGCGCATCACAAAATCCTGCAGAAGCCAGAAGGGATGGGTGATGTTAGAGGCCTTTGTCTCACCGGACAAAAAGGCAACATGGAGCATATGCAGACATAATCTATAACCATCACCATAATATTGCAACAAATGATACATTAATTTAAAATATATATTTATATATATATCTGATGTGCTGGAATCCTATACTTCTTTTACATTCTTATACAAATCTTATATTCTCTGCAAGAATCTTAAGAGCATTTAAAAAAAGATACTGACTTTAGAAACATCTTCCAAATTATATTAATTTTCACTACCATAAACATTTGACTTTCTTTTTACTCATGTTTTCCTCTTGTAAATATTCCCTCATGAGAAGGCATGATTATTTTCCTGTTATATTTTATTGTGTGTTTGATGTATTGTCTGAGTTGTTGTAAACTGCCCAGAAAGCGTCACTATTGGGCAGCATAGAAACAGAAAGTATATATAAATAACATATGCTGAGGACTGAATCATAATTAATACTTTTTATTTAAGTGTTATTTTAATTGTTAATATTATTTATTTATTTTATTCTTTGGCCAGGTCGACTCAAATTATATTGTTTTTATATTGTGATTATTTATTTATTGTTGTGAGCCGCCCCGAGGCTTCGGCGAATGGGGCAGCATAGAAGCTTCCTAAATACATACATACATACATACATACATACATACATACAGCCTTCAGTTTCTTCATGCAGCATAACAGTTGAGCATCAACAGTTTCTCTACATGAAAGGACCTGCAGTCTTTGACAGACAAAAGATTGGCAGTCTCACCTTTTCCTCATTTTCAATTATAGCCAGGGTGGCATTATGTGAAGAACAAAAGTTTTGACTAGCAGTCCAATTTTTCTCTGCCTTTGAAAAATAGTAGCATCGACCTTGATGCAAAGTCCAAGCGCCGTGGCACGTCAAATTAGAGGCTGCTGCGGATTTACAATCACAGGTTGGTTGTTCACCTCGGCCCACTACAGCAGAAGAATACAGAGGGTTACAGAGCATTTCATGGCATCCTGATCAAGAAGCATGAAGAGAAATGGAATGAATCGGACCAGGCCATGTTTTCTACTGAGGGCCTCTCCAAAGACGGTTTTGGTGGGAGAAGGTAATCTGTTGCAGTCCGCAAGTACAAAATTCATCCGTCCCATGGTTTCATTGGAACTGACCGTGCATGCTAGCTCAGTGATGCCTTTGCAATGCTGAAATTGCCCCATTCCTGGCCATCTGAAGCCGTTCCTCATTCCCTCTACCCACCATCATGGGAGGCAAAAGGAACCTCCTACACACCCACACACACACACACACACTACAGACAGGGCATGTGGGTCCCCCTTGAGTGAATTACCAGAGTGAACTGCAGTCCCATTGTAATGGTGACCCAGGTGCAATTCCACATCTAGGACATCCAAGAAAACTTGTGAGAAATCAAGGTGCTCTCCAACCTTTTGCTGATTGCTGCATTAGATGCATGTGGGTGGCTGGGAGGAGACAGCTCAGGCCTTTACCCCGCTCTAGGCAGCAAGGTTGAACAAGACCAATTGGAACTGGGTGCTTGGAAGGACACTGTCGTGCCTGACGGCTCGACAGAGATGTCTACTCATGAGGAAGAGGCAGGAGCTAGCAGTGAGAGTCAGGCATTGGAACAAGGGGACTTATATTTGAGGCCAGGTGCCCAGACGGCCCCTCTGCAGCCTGGCTCTGAGACCGCTGAGCAAGGAACCTCTCCACAGCCTGACCCCGTAGCCTCTACGAGAATAGCCTCTACCAGATCACCCCCGTCTGTGTGCTTCTTGATACTCTTAAAGAACTCTAATAGGTAAATGAGATAGGACTTATCTTTGTGGAAGCCATGCTGATTCTTTTTCAGCAAGGTTTGTCCTTCTATCTGCTTCCTGGTCCTATCTTTAATAACACTTCCAAGCAATTTACCCAGAACAGATATTAAGCTAACCGGTCTGTAATTTCCTGGATCCCCCCTGGATCTCTTTTTTAAAAATTGGTGTTACATTGCCTGCTCTTCAGTCCTCTGATAGAGCGTGATCTTAGGGACTTCTTAGATATTTTTGTAAGAAAGTGAGCAATTTCATATTTGAATGCTTCAGGAAGTCTGAGATGAATACCTCCTGAGCCCCGTGACTGATTCAGTTTGTCAGTATGGTTGATGATGTCACCATTTTTCATTACCACCAGCCTTTATCCCTCAGACTCCCTTCCTGAATACGTAAGTCTGAGATGAATACCTCCTGGGCCCCGTGACTGATTCAGTTTGTCAGTATGGTTGATGTTGTCACCATTTTTCATTACCACCAGCCTTAATCCCTCAGACACCCTTCCTGAATACGTAAGTTCAGGAACAGGTATCTGTTCTGCATCCTCAGTTGGGAAGATCTCTTTATCCTCCTTTGGTGGTCCTTTTATTCCATTGTCATCCAATGGTCTAGCTGCCTTTGTAGCTGGTTTCTTTTTTCTCATTTTAAAAGAATTCTTTATGGTTGGTCCTGATGTTAGTGATGTGCTTCTCAAAGTGCTTTTTCATCTCTTATTTTCTGCTGGCATCTCTTTTTGCTTTCCTCATTTGGGAAAACCTTCTCTCTAAACACTCCTTTGGCACTGCTAAATAACCATGTCAATGAACCCTTGACCTTTGAGTCAATTTTGCTGGCGTATGGTATATATACTTTCTCAAATTCTATTATTGTGGTTTTGCATAGTTTCACAATGCAAAATGTAATCTTGCATTACATCTTCCACTGGAAGCTGATTTTGTGCAAATGTACTTGTATACATTTGTGCAAGTTCAAATTCCCAGAAACAAGCAAATCCCCACAAATACTCAAGTCCTTAAAATATGCATATTTTCATGCTTTAGCTTATGGGGGAAATGCATGTTTTTGTTTGTTGTTTTTAATCCTGTGCATTTTTCTATTTTTATCCATAAATAGAATGGATGGATAAATTACATATATTTAAAAATCCACTGATGGATGATGGAAACCACTTGGCTTGGATGAAGACAATCAGCTGCAGAACCTATAGGCTGGATTCTTAGAAATTAAAACTGAATAGGGACCATGATGGAGTCTTCCCTATTCTTAAGCCTCAGTTGAAACAACCCTCAGTAACCTGAAAGAGGCCCAAGGGTGGCCAGAAAGGAAGTGCTTCAGCCTGCTTGACAGTTGCTTTACACACTTAAAACTGGAGTGTACACCTTGGGCACCAGTACACCTACCTGAGCTCTCTGCCTCTCCTGAGAATGTCTCATGGGTGCAACCCTATACAAATCTAAACAGAAAAATCTAGAGCCTCCAGCATGCTCCAGCCACTATGGCTGATCATAGCATCCTGGGATTTCTAGCTTGTCCCCCCGCCCCGCCCCCACACACTCTCACAGGTCTTTTAAAAATATCCTTTAAACTGGGATGCTGACATTCTGTAAATGCCCTTGAGTACCCTTGTTAATTTGGTCCAAAAGAGTGCTTTTGTCTTTTAGCCTCAGCTCACACCCCACTCCTGTTCTTTGGTTCTTATGCATGTTAGTTTTCTTTTAGTCTCACCAGTTTGCCCTTTGGGAAATTATTTGATCCAGCCATGCTCAGCTATTTTCTGAATGAATAACACTGACTACCATGGCAACCAGTTTGGGGGCATTCCCATGACCTCAGAATTCTCAATCGCCCATTTTAAAGGCTGATTTGCCTGAATCAGAGGAAGGCTTGGAGCATAATTTTAAGAGCAAAGAGAGGCAAACAGAAGCCCTTTCCTCAAGCAACTCCTATTCGGCTGATCACATTTCCAGCATTTGAGTTCACCTGAGAAGAGGTTCTCTCCTTCCTGTTGAAATGGAACACATGCTCCTTTCAGAAACTCAGTCGGCTCACTCTGCATCAGATTCAAGGCCAGAGGACTAGAGTCAGATCAGATGTTTTAAAAGTATAGACTGAATCCTATATATTCGTCAACTCTCTCTGTGTGTATGTATATGTGATGCGTCAGGCTGAGCTTGAGAGCAAGGAAATGCCACAGGAAGAAATAACTTTGCACTCTCGTAGCTATACCCTCACTTTTCCAGTATCTGAAGTCTGCAGATGGGACTGTGAATTAGCAAATTTCTCTCCCTCTTTCAGTCTCTCTCTCTCTCTCACACACACACACACCCAGGGAAGTTCTAACCAGGGATTTTTTCATTCTCAGTCCATATTTTTACAGGCCTTGGGATGACTGATTGGTTGCTTTGGCAAAGCTCTCTGATGTTACAGTACCTGAAAGCCAGACTATAAGTAAACCCATACAAGTAGGAAGTTGACTGAAGGCAGGCAGCTGTGTCAGCTCCCAGGGAAGTTTAGAAAATTGACATCGATCAGGCAACTTACCTGCTAAGTAGATGATGACACTGAGAAGGGCAAGCACAATCAAAAAGAGGCAAACTATGGTGTATACCAGGCGTCTAATGATCTGGGAACTTGCTAGAGGACAATAAAAACGAAAATCCCATATCATCAGCACTTGTCAGACTGATTCCCTGAAGCACTAAAAGAATTTAGAGCACCATCAGATGCATGTGCCTGGGCCATTTTTGTAGCCCTTTTTCCTATCCAACTTGCATAGGGTTGTACCTTAAGGATCCTTAAGATATATAAGGGATGCTACGAGGAACAGAATGGGGGCACCCTTGCGTTACAGTGGCAAATGGTAATCTAATGACAGATGTTTCAGAAGGCCTAGATTCACCTGCAGGGGAGCATGAAAGCTGGTGTTGGAGCACTCACACATCACTGCCTTTGCCACATGTTGCAAAGCTGTGGCTGATCTCACTGTTAAAGTCAATACGCCAGCTTCTGTTAGCCTGCTGCCTTCCCTATGAGTCTGACTTCAATTTCCAACCAGCCCAGCACGCATGGCCAGTAGTCAAGACCATTGTCATTCAAGACATCTGGGGAAGACTGCACTGTTAAATCTGCCTCACTACATGTCTCTGTCCCATTTCAACTTTTCTGTGACAACCTGACATCCAAAATGCTTGATGGGCTTTTTAGATAATGTAGTACAAAGGAGAATGTTTATAGATGAAGAGGCCATTGCATCTGTTAGCTGTTAGACAGGCAGACTGTACATGACATGTAGAGAAGCCCAATTCCAAGTAAATACATCTCTTTAATGTTCTTTGTATCTGGCATGTGAGGGATGCTGTTCCCAGCAACTTGCTGCTTGAAAATGGCAGGCAAAGGCTGCTCCTTAAATCTTAATTCACACACAGTAAGCAGCCTGGACTCTCCATTCAAGTGCCAAACTGACTACTAGGTTTATGAAGGGATGGTGTGGGGAGGGGAAGAAAAACCACGATTCTATCCCTTCTGGGACAATAGACACTACTGGGACAAAAATCTTTATGTTGGACAGGAAAGGTACCAGTCATTCCTGTGAAGCAGTTGGGTCACAGAGGTGTTGGTAGATAGAGAAAGAATCTAATGACCAGGCCCACAGGAATGAAATGTGGAAATCTGCATCTAGTAATTACGGATGCACAAAAGTGTGTGTGTGTTTAAAGAACCCTGTCTCATAAAGACCTCCCTAGCTAAAAATCCTACAAAAATCTACCCTCCTCCACCCAACTTTCCCCCCCTTAGCCACCAATCCCACAATCTCCCAGAAAATTGCAGAAACTGGCACTGATCTCAGTCCCTTGGTGGCAAGGCTTACCTGCCATTCCTGTAACTTGGGGCTCTCACATGTATTTAACAGCAAATGCACCTGAGAAATAACAAATGAAAAGTAGATTTAATTCAATAATGGGAACACAACAATAATGCGGAGCACTGAGGGGAGACAAGTATGGCGTCGGGACGAGACAGATGTGATTAACGGGGCTCTGTTACCACGCTGGTAACTGCCCGGTGGTGGGCTGTGGGGGCCCAATCTAAGCCCTGTAGGGGTGAAGATAGATTGCTTGGCAAAGTTCCCAGCAGGTGTCTGGATGGCAATTCTGCGCTTATTGGGAGAAAATCAAGCTTTTCTCAGTTGGATGGTACAGGAGAGAATTTCAGCTCTCTGTAAGTCCTCGGCATACTTTTTTTGTTTAGTCTGCTTTAGCTATTAGCATCAGATCTACTGGGAACTATTTTTATTTCTTTTCTTTTTTTGCAATGGTACCCGTGGAAAAAGCTGCATCGTTTGCTAATTGATATAAAAGAAGAAAGAGAAGCCCTTCGGATGGAGGAAGGAAAGAATTCTTCCCCCATCCCCACGGAACTGAAAGGCGGTGAATTACATGAGAGAGAGAGAGAGTCAGAGCTCTTTGTAAGTAAGATCTTTGTAAGATCTTTTTTTTCTTTAATCTCTCCAAGGGCAAAGAAATAAAATAATAAATTAATGTTTAACTGAATGATAGAAGTATCTTTCTTTTGTGTTGGACTGCTTCCAAGAAATAACAGCCATCTTTGCTCCTTTGTTCCTGGGACTCTTGGACCCCTGCCAAGG